ACCAATCCATCCTTTTGAAACCAAGTTTGCCCTGGTGTTAAGCCTCTGTTTACTAGCAATCCAAAAGAAGACCTTAGTTTTAAGAGGGGTGGGGGATTTCCAGATGAAGTTGTATAAAGCAGATTTGATACCCCCAGAGGTCAGAGCCGTGTAAAAAGATTTTACAGTGAATATCCCAGAAGAATGTAGGGGCCACCACAAACTATCAGGAGCCAGGCTATCAAAGACAGAAAAGTTATCCAAGAGAGAATGAAGATAAAAAGTTCCATGTCTTTCTTCTATCGTGATGCCTCTCCTGAGGGTAGCATGCCATTTCCACTCGTTATTGAGCATAAAGCCTTGAGAGCGGATGACACAGTCAGGGGAAAAAGCACGATAAAATGCTTGGGGAAATAAGCTAATAAGAAAATGGGTGGTAATCACATCTGGTAGGCCATACATCCCTTTTCTGCCCTAATAGTAGCCATCCCCTACCCCACAGCATCGTCCCTACCTTCAAGGCCAAATCATCCAGATCCCCCTCCTCCCCACCCCCCCTCTTCATCCCCAATATTCCTCTTCCTGAATCAGTGGTTTCCAGTATGGACGACTTTATCTTCTACGCCTTCTTCCAGATCCAGGTGGGGAATCCCACTTATGCAGAACTTATCGATAATCTTGAATTCCATCTAAAAGTTGATGAGTGGAAAACGGCTGTGAGGAGAGCTTCCCCATCTTCCTTTTTCATCCAGTTTCCAGATGCGGAAACAATGGATTACGCCTGTTCCAAACCCTTCTTTAGTATGGGTAATTTTGGTGGTGTCTTCTCGCCTTGGTCTGAGAACATTGGCCTCAAAGCTCTCCCCAAGTTTGTTTATGTGTGGGTAGAAATTCTTGACCTACCAATCCATCTTTGGGATACGGCCTTTATTTCGTCGTTACTGGGAGACGTGGGCGAAGTTATCACCGTTTCTGATGATATCATGTTTAAAAAGGAAGCTTCGAAATGTAAAGCCATGCTGTATGTAAGAGATGCCTCCGAGATCCCTCGTGTCGTCAAGTTCCGATATGAATCTCCTGATAATATCCATATCATGGAAGGCTGCGTTCGGCTGAGAGTAGTTGGTAAAGTGTTGCCATATTCCAAATCCAGATGCCGGGAGTTTTATGAAAGTTTCATCAGAAAAGAAGGGGCTTCTTCTTCACCTTCAGAGGATCTGCCACCTCCTCCGCCTCTCCCTCCTCGTAATGATGAGGTGGTTCAGCCAGTTCAGAGCAACATTCCTCCTCATCAGGATCCCAAAGGCAAAAAGCCGATGAGGCAATCTTGTGACCTCCCTCAAGCTCATCCCTCTTTATCCAAGAATTCTGTTATCTCAGATCTGATGGAAGTTTCTTATAAAGGTGTCAAGTTCCATATAGCAAAGTCATCTTGGGAAAAGCTGCAATTGGTTCTTTCTCCTGAAGAGGAAAGTGTGCAAGACCCAGCTCCAGCCCCCCCAAACCAAGACAAGTCGCTTGATATCAGTTCATCAGACTCTATGGACAACATTTCCTCTTCTGGTCCGCCTCCAGGCTTTGGGAAAGTCAAGGCCAGATCAAAGAATGCTCAGAAGAAAGCCTCCAAAAGCTCGTTATCACTTCTCCCCCTTAAGAGGCATTTAGCCCTTCAGAGAATCAGTAAGCACCCAGGTATCTCCAAGAGCAGATCCTCCTCCTCTTCTTCTGCTTCTACTTTACCTGTCAATGCTTTGAATTTAGATAAACTGAGGGATATTTCCATCAATTGTGGTATAAAGGAACCGATCGATCCTTCCGATCTAGAAGGCATTCTCTCTATGGAACATCTAGGGAATAATTCCTAGAGTTAGTGTCTCCTTTCTTCCCCAGTTGTCTCCCCCCTTTTTTTATCAGGATTCAATGATTTTTGGTTCATGGAATGTGAGAGGTATTAATAACCCTGCTAAGCGTCGTCTGGTTAGGGATTGCATTAAGATGGCTAAGGTGGACATTGTGGGTCTGCAGGAAACTAAGCTAAACTCTTCTAGACCTAACCTTTTGAAATCTCTGGGTGGGGGCTCTATTTCTTCTTGGATCTCTCTAGAGGCCTCAGAATCTAGGGGTGGTGTCCTCTTGGGATGGAATGAGGACCTCTTCTCATGTTCATCCTCTTCTTCAGATATCTTCTCTGTTACAGCTTTTCTCACTCACAAGCCATCCAACTGGTCTTTTGTAGTTACAACAGTTTATGCTCCTTGTGATCCCTCCGACAAGGAAGTTTGCTGGTGGGAACTCCAGAGACTCAGAAATTCTTTCTCTCTCCCGTGGATAGTCTTCGGGGATTTTAACATGACCTTTCATTCTTCCGAAAGAAGTGGGAGATCGGGTTCCCTTAAAGATATGTCAGTTTTCAGAAATCTCATCGACTCCCTCCTCCTTTCTGACATTCCTCTTAGCGGTAGAAAGTTTACTTGGTCAAACTGTAGATCCAATCCAGTCATGGCTAGGTTGGATAGGTTCCTGATATCCTCTGATTTTGATCTCAAGTTCCCCTTTCTCATTCAATATGCCTACACAGCCCCTTGTTCTGATCATTGTCCTATCATTCTTGATACAAATTCACCTAAACCCACTCCTCTTTTCAGATTTGAAAAATGCTGGTTATCCCTCCCTTCCTTTTCAGATTTCATTACCTTCAGTTGGTCCTCTTTCAGATACCATAACTCCTCCTCCCCTCCTTTCCTTCTTAAGTTAAAGCTCATTAAAAGAAGAATCAAGTGGTGGAAGAGGTTCTGCCTGGGCTCTTCTCATCAAGTTTATTCTTCAGCTATGGCACAGTTGGATTCTCTCAACCTCCTTGAGGAATCTAGGAGCTTAACCCCCTCAGAATTAGATACTAGATGCTATCTCAAAGACCAGCTCTTATCCTTTGCTAACTCTGAGGAGATAAAGTGGAAACAGTTAGACATGAAGAGGTCTTTCTTTAATTACTTCTCTAATCTGTTCAATAGCCAGGAGGATTCAAATCTTTGTATTGATTGGCAGTCCCTCTATCCTGGCGGCAAAGTTGACCTTTCATCCCTTGACCTCCCTCTCTCCCCAGAGGAAGTCAAAACAGCAGTTTTCCAGCTTCATCCTGAAAAGTCACCAGGACCAGACGGTCTTCCCCTCTTGTTCTTTCAAAGATTCTGGAACATGATTGAACTAGATCTTACTTCTTTCTACCTAAAATTATTCACTAATCCTCAGCCTCTACAAAACATCAATTATTCTTATCTTTGTCTCATCCCCAAAAAAGAAGGGGCTTGTTCTCCAGAGGATTTTAGACCTATTAGCTTGATTAACAGCACTTGCAAAATCTTTTCAAAAATCTTGGCTAATAGATTAAGAAATTTCCTTCACCTTCTCGTGGATGGCTCTCAATCTGCCTTTCAAAAAGGTAAATCCAGTTTAGATTCCATTCTTTTAGCCCACGAGATGATCAATCATTGCTCCTCAGGCAAAAAGGAAATTTGTGCCATAAAAGTTGATTTTTTTAAGGCCTTCGATTGTGTTAATTGGAACTTCCTCTTATCCCTTCTAGAAGCCAGAGGGTTCAGTTCTAAATGGTGCCTCATCATTAAACATATCTTATCCTCCTCCAAATCGGCTGTCCTTGTCAATGGTTCTCCCACAAATTTCTTCACTTGTCATAGGGGCTTAAAACAAGGAGATCCTCTCTCCCCAATGCTCTTTCTTTTGGTTGTGGATGTGCTTAACAGAATGCTTCTCAACAACACCGCTGCAGGTGATCTTTCTCAGCTTAATATTAGAGGAGAACTGAATAAGATTAGATCTCTTCAATTTGCAGATGACACAATTATTTTCTCCAAAGCTCTTCCCTCGGATATGATCACCTTAAAGACCATCTTGCTTATCTTTGCTAAAGTTTCTGGGCTCAGAATCAATCATGTCAAATCCAATCTGTTCTACCTCGGCAGAATCCCTTTCAAGGGCTCCCAGCTTGCCAATCTTCTTAACTGCTCTTTAGGGTCCCTCCCCTTCTCCTACTTAGGTCTCCCTCTCAAGTCTGGTTCTCTCACCAAGCGAGATTGGCAACCTCTCCTAGATTCCTTCTCTAAAAAACTTTCTCATTGGAAAAGTAAAACTCTATCTTTGGGTGGTAGATTGACCCTCCTTAACTCTGTTCTTTCTACCATTCCTCTTTACTACTCTTCTTTCTTCAAGTTACCAAGGTGGCTCATCAAAGCAGTAGACAAGATAAGGAGAAACTTCTTATGGAATGGCAGTCACCAATCTCCGTCTGTTAGGAATTTGGTCTCATGGGGTTCAGTTTGCAGACAGAAAAAGGAGGGTGGATTGGGCGTTATTCACCTTGAATCCTTCAACATTGCTCTCCTATCTAAATGGATCTGGAAAATCTTCGACAGAGAGACTCTAGTAAGCAAGGTGGTCTTCTCCCTCTATTCCAAGAATGGTGCTAACCCTGTTACCCTCTCTCCTTCCCCTCAAGCTTCCAAATTCATCAAAGACCTGCATTCCATCCATCAAGCTTTCTTTAGTTTTGTAAGATGGAACATTGGTGATGGTCGAGCATGCAGATTTTGGACTGATAAGAAAGATATGGTTTATTATGTAAACGACGTGCTCATATCAGGTGATATATTGAAAACCAATTGAAACAATAGATGAATATAATGGAAGATATCAACCATCACAAAGTGCAAGCATGCACATCAAGCACCCATGTGCGCGCACACACACAGAGGCACACATATTTACTCTGCAACATTTGGTTATGAGGAAGGACACACCCCAAAATATACAGTGACAAGAACAAAGGTCCACCTGTGAAACAACGAAATCAGTCAAACATCAACCGACCGAAAAATGTTCTCAAAAACAACGAAGAAACAGGACTACACTATTTTATCTCAAATGTGCAACTTTAAACAATAAAAGATATGCATGTTTATGAAAAGATCACAGTATTCAATTTTATTAAGCCACAATTCCAATTCATGAAACAGAAGACTATGTACAGCATTATACCACTGAACTCAACAAAGAACAAGATGATCAATGAACAAAAACTTCTTCAATGCTCATTGGGACCATCTTCTGACAAAGAATTCCCGTTGCCATTCCCTCCATTTTGAGAAGACCCAGACGACGAAAACGAAAGCAATCCACTAAAAGGCCAAGGGACCGGCATCCACGACCTCCCCCCGATGGCATTACCATTGCCATTACCTTCTTCTCTATTACCCTCACTTGCACCCGTGCTACCATTGCCAGCGCCATTGGACTCATTCTTCGGCCCCTCAACGGGCATCTTAAACCTACAGACGGGGCACGAACTATGAGCCTCGAGCCAAGGCAATATACACCCCTCATGAAATTTATGTTTGCAAGGCATCTCCCTAGCTTCCTCCCCAATCTCAAACTCCTCCAAACAAACATAGCAACGCCCAATTTTCTCCTCAATCTTGATTCTAGCCATCGCCTCAACCGCCTCTTTACTTGCCGGAGGAGTCACTTGCCTATTAGGATAGTTCTCAGCCAAATGTTGTAGCAGCTGATCGAGGCCAGGACCGACGAAATAATCCCCTATCAAAGCTCCAATGTTGTGGTTTATGTTGGTAGGATGAATGGCTCCCCCTTGGATGATCACAGCTTGGTTGAAGGGATTGATTAGGATCATATGTTCTCCCTGCCTCTCTCCTTGTTCTTGGTCTCTGATATGCAACCTTTGTTGGATGTCAGTGAGGACATCGAGGATGGCTGAAGTTCGCTGGCATTGACGTTAGAGGGACGCGAGCTCATTGTCTTGTTCAGAGGTCGCGTTTGATTCTTCCTCTTGTCCTTCATTTATCTTAGACCCCCGGCGACGGCGGAGGACATCGTTGAGCATGCTGAGTAGGATGGGGCCCCATAAGGAGAGGTCCTGATCAGAATCAGATGCTGAATTGGGATTATTAGCAAAGGAAGGCGCTGGGTTTTCTTGGGCTTTCATTTCCTCAATGAATCATCATTGCAGAGAGGGCATTTGATCTCAACCTCCATTATTGGGTCCACAATTCTTGAGCACATATGGCACCAATATCTAGAAGCAGCCAATGATTCGTCCATCGTTCTGATTACTTAGGTCCTCTTCAAAAACTCCCTCTATATACAGAACAATGAATTAATGACAGAATCAATACCAAAAAATTAACAAACACCAAGAATTTTTAATCAATATAATGTATTTATCCCAAAATTACTTTAAGGGAAAAATCTCTTTTAACCCAAAGTTTTACCCCCAATTATTTAAAAACCCATCCACTTTACTAAACACCAATAGACCCATTGTATCTCATCTCACTTATTTTTAAACCCAACATGTATAATACACCCATTTTTTGTACTGTATTTACCCAACAAATTAAAAATTCCTAAATTATCCTTCATCCCCAAATATAACTCAGCCCCTCTCTCTCTTCCAGTCTCTCTTCCGTTTCACATTCTCAAAGAGTCCAGGAGAGATTAGGGTTTCGGCGAAGAGGTCTCTGGTTGAGGATCACCGACGGCGGCGAAGGGAGTTGGATCGACGGTGAGCGACGACGGACGGCGGCTACACAGGTCTGAAAGCGGAGGTCATTTGGAGCGACGACGGACGGCGATTGCACGGGTCTGAAAGCGGGTAACACACAAATCTTCCCTTTTCCTCTCTAATACTTGAAATTAAGCCCCTAGATCATCGATTTTCATCGCAAGTTCCTCATATCACTGAGTGTTTTTATTTTTCGAATGAGGTTGTAGAGAAGGCGACGGAGAGAGTTAGGGCTTGGATTAATCGGTGTTGTCTGTAGCGAGAGATATTGGAGTTGGGAGAGATGGAAAGGTTTTCCTGCATGTGTGATTAAGCTCTTTTTTAAAATTAATTTATGGAAATGGATGATTTCTTGACCTAATTATGTTGATGGATCACATGCAACTTGCACGTATAAATTGTTGAAAGGGCCCGAAAGATAAGATTGTACTTATATCACAGTAATCTCTCGAACATCTAAGGTTTAACACCTATGATAGCTTGGTGTTGAAATCATTATTTATAAAAGGATTTCAACCTGCCGCTGGGATATTCATAATCATAATGTATTTTTTGAAATATTTGTCAATAGGTTGTCAAAGATGTCAAGCAGAAGTAATCTCTACGAGCAAAGACCGTGATTGCATTTATCTCGGAGGAAGCAAAAAGTCTGCTAGAATATGCTTTTACTCAGGAAGTAGACTCTGAATATATATGTCTTGGATGTTCTGAATGTTGAAGTTGCACATGAGCTTGGGTACTTGACAGATTCATTTTGTGGCTATTGGTTGGTTACATTTTGTGTTGATTGTGTACTTGGCAGATACATTTTGTGTTTATTGTGTAGCTTAGATCTGTGCAGGAGCATATGGCGTTGATTTTTAGAGTGGTGTTGTGTATTTGTTGTTTTATGCTGTAATTATGTTATTATTGTTAAAATTCTATGAATGTTGAAGTTGAGCAGGAGCTTAGATCTGTGTACTTGGCAAATTCATTTTGTGTCGGTTGGTGTATTCATTTTGTGTTGATTGTGTACTATATTGATTCATTTTGTGTTTATTGTGTAGCTTAGATCTGTGCAGGAGCATAGGGTGTTGATTTTTATAGTGGTGTTGTGTATTTGTTGTTTTATGCTGTAATTATGTTCTTATTGTTAAAATTCTGTGAATGTTGAAGTTGTGAGGATCTTAGATCTGTGTACTTGGCAAATTCATTTTGTGTTGGTTGGTGTATTCATTTTGTGTTGATTGTGTACAATATTGATTCATTTTGTGTTTATTGTGTAGCTTAGATCTGTGCAGGAGCATAGGGTGTTGATTTTTGTAGTGGTGTTGTGTATTTATTGTTTTATGCTGTAATTATGTTCTTATTGTTAAAATTCTGTGAATGTTGAAGTTGTGCAGGAGCTTAGATCTGTGTACTTGGAAAATTCATTTTGTGTTGGTTGGTGTATTCATTTTGTGTTGATTGTGTACTATATTAATTCATTTTGTGTTTATTGTGTAGCTTAGATCTGTGCAGGAGCATATGGTGTTGATTTTTATAGTGGTGTTGTGTATTTGTTGTTTTATGTTGTTTTTATGTTCTTGTACCCAATTGTTTGAAGGGAAATGTTACCAAGAATTAAGTTGATGGATATTAGTTATGGCTTGTACCCAATTGTTTGAAGGGAAAATGTTACCAAGAATTAAGTTGATGGATATTAGTCCTTCCAAATTGATAGATATTACTGCTGTTTTTCAGAAACAATAATAATACAAACGTCACGTGTTTATTGACCAATCATCCACTGCGACGAAACCACTCGACGACCTACGTCACGTGTTTATTGACCAATCATCCACCGCGACGGGGGGGTCCTCACGCAATTTTGAAGCTTCTGGGCAAAGTATAGCACCTTATGGGAAAGTATAGCACCTTTTGGCCAAAGTATAGCACTATATTGTAAAGTATAACACTTTATTGGCAAAGTATAGCACCTTATTAGCAAAGTATAACACCTTTTGCTTTCTGAAAATTCTGCACCTTAAGTGTCTACAATCAAATCAGTTTTTTTTGTCGCGACGAAACCACTCGACGACCTACGTCACGTGTTTATTGACCAATCATCCACCGTGACGGGGGGGTCCTCGTACAATTTTGAAGCTTCTGGGCAAAGTATAGCACATTATGGAAAAGTATAACATATTTTGGCTAAAGTATAGCACAATATTGCAAAGTATAGCACTTTATTAGCAAAGTATAGCACCTTATTGGCAAAGTATAACACCTTTTGCTTTCTAAAAATTCTGCACCTTAAGTGTCTAAAATCAAATCAGTTTTTTTCGCCGCGACGAAACTACTCGACGACCTACGTCACGTGTTTATTGACCAATCATCCACCTTGACGGGGGTTCCTCGCGTAATTTTGAAGCTTCTGGGCAAAGTATAGCACCTTATAGGAAAGAATAGCACCTTTTGGCCAAAGTATAGCATAATATTGCAAAGTATAGCACTTTATTAGCAAAGTATAGCACCTTATTGACAAAGTATAGCACATTTTGCTTTCTGAAAATTCTGCACCCTAAGTGTCTAAAATCAAATCAGTTTTTTTCGCCGCGATGAAACCACTCGACGACCTACGTCACGTGTTTATTGACCAATCATCCACCTTGACGGGGGTTCCTCGCGTAATTTTGAAGCTTCTGGGCAAAGTATAGCACCTTATAGGAAAGAATAGCACCTTTTGGCCAAAGTATAGCACAATATTGCAAAGTATAGCACTTTATTAGCAAAGTATAGCACCTTATTGGCAAAGTATAGCACATTTTGCTTTCTGAAAATTCTGCACCTTAAGTGTCTAAAATCAAATCAGTTTTTTTCGCCACGACGAAACCACTCGACAACCTACGTCACGTGTTTATTGACCAATCATCCACCGCGATGGGGAGTTCTCGCGCAATTTTGAAGCTTCTAGGCAAAGTATAGCACCTTATGGAAAAGTATAGCACCTTATGGCCAAAGTATAGCACTATATTGCAAAGTATAGCACATTATTAGCAAAGTATAGCACCTTATTGGAAAAGTATAGCACCTTTTGCTTTCTAAAAATTCTGCACCTTAAGTGTCTAAAATCAAATCTGTTTTTTTTGCCGCGACGAAACCACTCGACGACCTACGTCACGCGTTTATTGACCAATCATCCACCGCGACGGGGGGTCCTCGCGCAATTTTGAAGCTTCTGGGTATAGTATAGCACCTTATGGGAAAGTATAGCACCTTTTGGCCAAAGTATAGCACTATATTACAAATTATAGCACTTTATTGGTAAAGTATAGCACCTTGTTGGCAAAGTATAGCACATTATGCTTTCTGAAAATTCTGCACCTTAAGTGTCAAAATTGCACGAGGACCCCCCGTCGCGGTGGATGATTGGTCAATAAACACATGACGTAGGTCGTCGAGCGGTTTCATCACGGTGAAAAAAACTAATTTGATTTTAGACACTTAAGTTGCAGAATTTCCAGAAAGCAAAAGGTGCTATACTTTGCCAATAAGGTGCTATACTTTGCTAATAAAGTGCTATACTTTGTAATATTATGCTATACTTTGGCCAAAAGGTGTTATACTTTTCCATAAGGTGCTATACTTTTCCCAGAAGCTTCAAAATTGTGCGAGGACCTCCCGTCACGGTGGATGATTGGTCAATAAACACGTGACGTAGGTCATCGAGTGGTTTCGTCGCGGCGAAAAAAACTGATTTGATTTTAAACACTTAAGGTGCAGAATTTCCAGAAAGCATAAGGTGCTATACTTTTCCAATAAGGTGATATTCTTTGTCAATAAAGTGCTATACTTTGCAATATAGTGCTATACTTTGGCCATAAGATGCTATACTTTCCCATAAGGTGCTATACTTTGCCCATAAGCTTCAAATTTGTGCGAGGACCCCCCATCGCGGTGGATGATTGGTCAATAAACACGTGACGTAGGTCGTCAAGTGGTTTCGTCGCGGTGAAAAAAACTGATTTGATTTTAGACGTTTAAGGTGCAGAATTTTTAGAAAACATAAGGTGCTATACTTTGCCAATAAGGTGCTATACTTTGCTAATAAAGTGCTATACTTTACAATATAGTGCTATACTTTGGCCAAAATGTGCTATACTTTCCCATAAGGTGCTATACTTTCCCCAGAATCTTCAAAATTACGCGAGGACCCCCGCCGCGGTGGATGATTGGTCAATAAACACGTGACGTAGGTTGTCGAGTGGTTTCGTCGCGATAAAAAAAACTGATTTGATTTTAGACACTTAAGATGTAGAATTTCCAGAAAGCATATGTTTTCGTCGAAAGTTGCCTTCATCATTGATTTCATTAAAATCTTCAAACGTTACAAATGAATTCAAACAACAAAGAAATAAAAATTACAACTTTCTTGAAAAATAAACACAAGATCCGTTCATCGTCTCTTGCTTGCGTGGGTCTTTAGCCTGTGACGGGGACGTCGATATCCGTGGACTACCTGGCAATCAGATCTGATCCAGAGCTTCGTCGATCCGCGAGGAGATCTAGAAACTTGAAGCGCCTATCTCGATAAAAGCGAGATA